AATGATGATAATGTAACCATAAACTATAAATTGTTCATTAAGAAGAGCGGTGAGAGTAAAAATATTCCATATGCCTTCTCTTGGGGATGAGGAAGAGAAGAGATGTCATGGGTTGGGCTCTCTGGAAGCAGGCACTGGGCCAGAGTTTTGGGTGCAAGATGTTTTTAGCAGTCAGTACCTGTGGCATGAGTTGAATTGTGTCCCGCAAAATGTGAAGTCCTAACCCCCAGTATCCGTTAACGTGACTTGTTTGGAAACTGGATCTTTACAGATGTAATCAAGTTAAAAGGAGGTCATTGGGGTGGGCACTGATCCAACATGACTGGTGTCCATATAAGAAGAAAATGCCACGTGAAGACAGAGAGACACAGGGAGATGACAGAAGCAGAAGTTGGACTGATGCAGCTGCATGCAGAGGAGCACTGAGGATCCACGGCCACCCCCAGAAGCTAGAAAGGGAAAGGAAGAATTCTGTCCAGAGCCTCAGGGGGAGAAGGGCCCTACTGACACCTTGATTTTGGGCTTTTAGCTTCCACAACTGTGAGAGGAAAAATTTCTGTCATTTAAAGTCACGCAGACTTGGAGACTAATACAACCTGTGAAGGGAGGAGGCACGCTGGGCAAGCAGAGGAAGACGTCAGGGCTTTGATGGAGGACCCACAGAGCCAGGGCCAACACAGGATGGGGGTGCTCCCTTGTCATTCAAATCACGGGCTGTGTGCAGCCCCTGGGAGGCCATGGCCTGGGGAGCGGTGGCTCTCCGCAGCAGCAGACCCTGAGAGAGCTGACAGCCGGATGTGTCTGCAGACCATGCTTATAAATGACCAGCATCCTTCCCTCCTGGGTGGCACAGCTCTGTGCCCCCCACAGTAGAGCAAAGGAAAATGGCTGGGTGGTGGGATGGCATCATTTTATTTTTTTAATACAAATATATGGACTCTTAATGTTTTAGAAATGGAAAGATAATTATCAGCAAAATATATGTGGAATAAAAACTTGCTAGGAAAAAATAGAGTTTTAAACTTTATCAATCTAGCAAAGAAGAAATGAATAAAAATAAATGCAATAACAATAAATGTAATTAAGAGAAAACAAATATAATGGAAGTATACCAAATATAGTCTTATCACAATAGAAGTGAATTTACTGAGGTCCCTTTTCAAATGACAGTCTTAGATTGGTTAAAAAACCAAAAATCCAATTTTAAGCTGTTTATCAGGAACACAGCTAAAACCAAATGAAAACAACTAAAAATTTTGAAGGTAAAGAAATGGACGAGGAGATGCCAAGCGTGAACAAATAAAAGGAAAGCAGAAGTGGGGATATTAACATCAGCTAAGATAGAACCCAAGACCAAAATTATTAAATAAGAAAAAAAGATACTTTTATAGATAAAGAGTACAATTCACAAGGACATTGTTATACACATATCCTTTGTACACTGGCTACCATAGCTATGGAAATTTTAAGGCAAAAAATGAAAAGTAGAACTACAGGAGTGTATGATTAATCTATAACCATATTAGAGGATTTTAATATTTTTTCATAATTTGACAAAGTAAGCAATGATATAAGGTGGTAATAATATAGTGCTTTTCTACTCTGTAAAAAGAAAATGCACATTTTTCTCTTGTGTCTACAGAACATTAATAAAAAAACTACTTCTATAGCCATAGGCAAAAACTTGATAAATTTGGGATTGGAGGAAAGATACTTTACTCATCCCGTAATTTGATCCTAGTGTGATAAGGTAAGAATGTGGCAATCAATTAAACATTAATAATTAAAATATAAATACTTAAAATTAAGAAACCCTCTTTTAGACAATTCCCGGGTTAAATTGAAAATCAAATCCAAAATGACAAATTATTTGGAAATTAACTAAACAGAATACTTCACGTCTAAATTTATGGGGAAATAATATATTCAGAAATACTTTATAGCCTGTTAACTTCAATACTATTTTTTAAAATACTGAAAATAAACTAAGTATTGCATCTAAGAAATTTTTCAAAAGAAAAGAAAGAGGAAGTCTGACTAATAAAAATACCTATTGAGAATATATATGCAATATGTATAATACACACATATATAATATATATGCATACTCACACACCATCAGGAATAAGGAAAAAGACGTTACTTGGATCCCAAAAGAATTAAAAGAATTCAGTAACAGACTATTATGAGCAACCTTGTAACAAAAATTTAAAAATCTAAAGGAAATTGATGGTTTTCTAACAAAATATAAATTACTAAAATTTAATTCAGAGTGAGATTATAAATTCCAAGAAATGAATAATCAAAAAATTGAGTACATATAAAAAGAAACCCTTCCAATTTTATGAAAAGTATCCATTTTTTTTAATATCAAAATGTGTTTCAGTTGGGAGAACAGTCATTTAATTTCAATTATGAAAATACTAAAAAATGGTAGCAGTTCAAATCCAAGTTAGGGTTTTTCTAGAAATACATAATTTTGCATTTTGAAATTTCTCTATGTTATATTTGACACAGCAGAATAAAGGAGAACAATTGTATGATTATGTCAACTGATGCTGAAAATGTATTTGATATAATTCAGTAGACTTTCCTAATTAAATTAAATTAGGATAAAGCAGAAAGAAGCTACTATGCTACCAAACAAGCTCATAATGGAGGATGGTGACTTCTGTAGGATTATGGCATAAAGGTCAAAAACTACTATTACTCAACTGCTATTCAGCTTTTTTTTTTAGAAGTTTGATGGCAAATGTAGTAAGAGAAGAAACAGAAATAAGCTATATAAATATTGCCGGTAATATGATTAAGACTCTGCCTAAAATCTTTTAAAATTCTGTAAGAGGATTTGATAAAATGACTGGGTGAAAGATAATAGATGAAACCCAGTCATTTTTCTTTCTCTGAATTAATAACCAGTTAGAAATGCAAATAGAAAAATCCTTATTTAAAAGAGTGACAAACTAAAATATCTGGAAATGAATTTAGTAAGATATAAGACAAATAACGAAAAATATGGTTGTAGTAAATGATATAAAATAACATTTGAAGAAATAGGAAACTATACCCTCTTTTGAATAAGAAAATTTCAAATTCCAAAAATATTCATGCTTCCCAAATTAGTATATAAATTTAACATAATTCCAGTCAAAATTCCAATTTGGCTAGTGTTGAGGGGAGCTGGACATGTTTTCAGATCAAGCAATGTGATTTTAAAGTCCCTATAAAAATACAAATGTGAGAGTATTACTAAAGTTGGAAGAAAAATAGTATGGGGAACTTGTAACCACAGATATCAAAGCATATTGTCATGTTACTGCATTTAAGATAACCGTATTAGCTCAGAAATCAGCAAGTAAGTCTTTGGAACAGAGAGTCCAGAATTAGGTTGAGGTATATAGGGAAACTTAATACTTGCCAAAGGAGACATGCTTATCCACTAAGGAGAAGATAGAGTATAAAGTAAATGATGTTGAGGCAGTTAGCTGTCCATCTGGGAGATGAGGTTACATTCCATTTGAAGTAAAGATCTAATGTTAAAAATGGAACTATAAAGGTATTTGAAGAAAATATAGGAGAATACATATAGAATAATGTCAGGCTTGGGAGAACTCACCCAAATAGGACAGTAAATCCATAGTCCATATAGGAAAAATTAGTAGATTTGACTGTGCCAGAATTTAAAATGTCCACCTGACAAGACACCATAAACAGAGCCAAAAGAAGAACAACAGTTTGCAGCACATATGACAGAGTTAATGTTTAATACACCAGGAGATCTTACAGATTAATTATAAAAGAAAAAAGATAAACAGCACAGTATAAAAATAAGCAAAGGACATGAACTGGAAATTAAATCACCAGTAAACCTGTGAAGAGGATAAGCCTCATTAGTGGTAAGAGAATGTAAATTAAAATGACCGAGATGTCGTTCTCTGCCCATCAGATTGGCAAACGTTTTCAAGATGGTGAACACCCAGTGCTGATTAGCGTGTCAATAAGGGTACTCGTTACGCACTGTGGGATTGATATCTCCAACCTTTTTACAGAAAGAAATGTAACAAAGTTAATACACTTATCAAGTTTGGTTCAGCTTCCAGGATTCTTTCCCACAGAAATAGAAGTACTAGAACTTTAAAGATACTTGAGTAAGGCTGTTTAGTCCTCTGGTTATGGTAGCCAAGCCTGGAAACAGTCTGCATGTTCATCCACAGGGGACTGATTGCTTAAATGAAGGTATATCCATTTTGTGGGATATGATACAGTTATTTTAAAATGAGATAGATATACAGTATATACTTGAAAAAATATCTAAAATATGCTGATAATAGTAAGTGGCAGAAATAAGTGTGTGTGTAAGCAAGTATATGGAAGGTTTTGGAAGGATATACAACAAACTGACCATTGGTTATCTCAGGGGGGAGATACTGGTGGGACCTTACTAATTTTTATTTTAAACTCTGTATTTTTAAAATTGGTTACAATATTTCTTTTGTATGAAAATATAAAGTATAGCAAAAAGGGTTTGTTGAACTGTTCTTTGAAGTTTTGTCATCTAAACAACATGAAAACCACAGTTAATTTATGACAGGGATAATATAGAAAACTTGTTCACACGTCACATCGGGTGTCTTTTATGAAGACCCACAGGATAGTTTGTTTGAGCACCTGACTTGCTTTCATCCTATGAACATTGGGCATTTAGATTACTGGTTGTTTCTTCCTCTGCTGTGGCCGCTAGGAATCTCAGAGTCACCTTGGAGACTGTCCAGAGTACTGAGTGACTGTACAGGCGCCCATGGCTCACATTCTGTTCGCAGCCCACACTGCTGTCACTGTCTTGGTTCTCACCTTTATTTTCCCTTCATACACCTTCCTTCATTTTATTATTTTAGTTTTGACTAATTGCATTATGTGTATCCCTAGAACCACCCCGACCCCTTGTGGGAGATGAAGTAGAGATATGAATAAGTAATGACCAGTGATTTGTATTTTGACAGGAACCTGGGAAGGAGCACAGTCTCGGCAATGAGTAGGCCACTCATCACGACCAACTCCAGATGACTTGCCGCTTCATTTACAAAGGTAAGGAGGTGCAGGCTCTATTTTTAATTGACTCCAGCTGGCTCATTGTAAGCTCTTACTTCTTTTATATTTATTTACAGATATTCTAAATCATATATCTAGTTCATGGCCTTTAACTTTGACATTATCAAATTGAAAACAAATGAGAAGGAAATAGAAACACAGGAAATTTTGTGAATGTTGGCATGCCTAAAGTTGTAGAACCTGGGAGACGTCTACTGTGTGTAGCTAAATTTTTGACTAGCATTAGTGTTTTCCTGATGTTGAAGTAGGGCAGTGCTCACAACAGAATACTTGGAGAATATAGTAAAGTATACACCTGAGAACCCAAAGCATTCACAGTCCCATCGTCTGTAGATAATAACCAGTACTTCTGTGAATTTCTTTCCTCCTTCCTTTTATGCGTAAATAGAAACATATATGATCATAGTGTTTCTAAAAACTGTTTTTAGTCCATACTTACCTTGGCTTCCATAGCTATAAATGATGGACCTTAACTAGTGCAAAACATAGCAAGTAATTATCTCTATGACCATTTTAATAGCTATTTGCAGTTTACCAGGGCATGCACAACATCTCATTTGCCTCTCCTACATGGATGTCCTGGTGAGTAGGTGAATTGATCTGTGTGACCTTTGTTAAACATCATCCTACAGAAAAAAGTGTTTCAATTTTTTGGTCCAGGTGACATCTCATGGTTTCCCTTTAATATTATTGTCTGTTTTGTGCTGCTTAAAAGGAATTGGTTTTGTTTTTGTTTTTTTTTAATATATAAGTTTACCTACTTCTCTCTTCCTCTTTCCCACTGCCCAGTCAGGAATTATTTACAAAGCAATAAAAAAAATGCCATCTCATCATGTCCTTCATTCATGCCAGTTTGTCCACCCCTCATTAAGGTTGTATTTTCAGGCATCTTCAGAGGTTAAAAATACAACCTCTTGGAAGCTTTTTGGTTTTAAAAAACTGCAGAGGCTTAGAAGTGAAATTACTTAAGTGGCATTCTTTAGGTAGATCTTCATTCTGTTGGCTCTGTTAAACAGTGGAAGTTTGAATAAAATCCTACTCTTATTATTATTAGCACATACTAAATTTGAGTCACAAACATACACTAATGTAGAAATAGGGATCAAATATCCAGTAAATCACTATATATTCTTAAGGTGATTATGTAATTTGAGCTTTGGGGGGAGGTATGATACAGGGTTTGGTTTGTTTTTTCCCCTGAGCCTGATATTATAAAACCTTTCAGATATCCTAATTGGACTAATGTATTATTCAAAACTCACCAAAATATTATGAAGAGACTGGAAAAATAAATTATTCTTTAAATAAATTAAACAGATACAGTGTGAGAAGCAGTAGTGTATAAAATATCTGTCCTTGAAAACTCCATGTTCTAATGTGGACAGATTGAATGGAGACAAACGAAATTGAAAACCTAAGAGAATGCTTGATTTGGTGGGCAGTAATAGATCTGGTAAGGTTGACTTGCCATGGTACATGCTTTCATTTTCTTGGATGGTTTTTAGTCACAGCAAGCTCATGGCAGTCATTTAGTTCTAGTGCAGAGAAATGGCTGGCAAAATCTTAGGCTTAGCACACACTGTGTTTATTAAAAGCCCAAGATTTAAAATGTGCTTCAAAGGCTTATGAGAAAGTCAGAAGTTTTCCCCTCTATGGTGTATAGAATGCTCTTTGCAATTTAAGATAAGACCCTTAAATATCATGACTCCCTGGTTATGTAGTTATCCTCATTTACCACATAAGTATTTGGCTTTAAAAAATTAGATGAATTAGAAGTAAAATGCAAAAATCCTACTATTAAAAGATGAGAGGAACACATGTTTAAACATCTCATGTCTCCCAATGAAAAGAAATATTTTATCAAAAGCACTGGAAGAAGTCACAAAGATGGTCAGTAGTTTTAAGTATGGAAAATGTAAAACTTCTGTGTCATAATTAAAAAACAAATTAAATTCAGCAGCGTGGAAAATATTAATGTGCTTGTAAATAGACTAATACATAAAAGTCAATAAGGAAACAACTAATATTAATAACAATAATATGTGAAAATCAGTACCTAATACATTAAGACCCCACAAGATAAATGAACACAATAATAGAAAAGTCAAAAGAAGAAATACAAAGAGGTAAAACAGATACACAATGTTAACCTATGCTAATAATTTTCAAAGATGCAAATTAAAATCAAGAGGTGCTTTCTTTCATCTGCCAAATTAGCAAAGATAGTTAAAATGATAATAGTTATTGCTAAGCATGTAATGGAACCAGCTCTCGCTGCTGATAGCATGAATGAGTGTAGTCTCCTTAGAAAGAAATTTAGCAATTTCTTTAGAAATTGAGAAAGTTCAGTATGTGGTAAGACCGTTCAATTTTTTAGTGACCTAGTAGCTCTAGGAAACTAGCCCAATAAAACATTGAAGTTGGACAAAGCACAAAATCATTACTGTTGCCTTACTTCTAGAAGCAAACCCCCTGAACCACCTCAACTATCCTTCAATATTAACGTTGTTAACTAAAGTATTAACATACAATAGTGTTCACACCGTGGTGTCTCTCGCAACTAGAAAAAATCACTCTTACAATGAGATTTTTATAATCAAATGGGAAAATGCTTATTACATAAATGTTCAGTGCAAAATGTTACATTAAGATGGTATCATAATATTTTTAGTATGAGAGTTCATGGAACAAAAGGTGGAAACAAATATACCAAAATGTGAATAGTGAAGTTGCCCAAGGGCAATAGAATTGAGTAATTTTTCTGTTCTAGGTTTTTTTTTTTTTTGGTACTTTCCAGATATTTTTCCAGGAAGCACCTATAACCAGAAGAAAAGGGTTTTTTGTTTTGTTTTTTTAAGGCTTTGCAGAAAGAAACTTAGACACATTATATGGGCTTGGGCTTCCATAGCATCTTTCTTAGAGCATACGGAGTGAAGTATGCTACCAAAATGATTTATAAATAAAGCTTTTTTTTTGAAAGATTGGAGGGACACAGAATTTTTTTTATTGTATGAGAATTCTCTTCCCTTCTTGGAGACAACAGCAATAACAACAAAAATGTAATTAACCAAAACAGATTCTCTAGTTAATATTATTAGCATGTTGTATTTCAGAGTAGAATTTCTAGATTCATATAGGTACCTTTTTCCGTTATAGATGTCGTCTGCTGCTGAAAATGGAGATGCAGCACCTGGAAAACCAAATGAGGAAAAAACCTATAAAAAGGTGAGTGAGTATGTTATTTTCTTCAGCTCAGAAAGAGGAACACTTATTACTTAGAATATTAATATCACCATAAACCTTTTCTTCCTCCAAACCATGTGTATGTAAGTTCCTGCCTGAGTTTCCTGTTTCTGTAACAAATTACTTCAAAGTTAGTGGCTTAACACAAATGAACTGTCTTACAGTCCTATCGATCACAAGTCTGACATAGTGGTCTCTCTGGGTCAAGATCCAGGTGTCTACAGGGCTGCATTCCTTTCTGGAGGCTCTAGGGAAGAGTCCATTTTCTTGTCTTTTCCAGTCTCTTGAGGGTGCCTGCATTCTCTGTAGCATGATTTCCTTACAGCTTCAAAGCCAGCAAAGGCCAGTAGGGTCTTTATCAGGCTATATCACTCTGACACTTTAAAGGATGCTTTAAACCTTTAAACATTGAGCCCTTCTGATAATCCCAAATAGTCCCTTTATTTTAAAGTCATATGATTAGCAACCTTAATTACCCTTACTCCTCATTGTCAAATAACAGCACATTCACAGATCCCAAGGATTAGGACGTGGACATCTTTGGGGGCCATTTTTCTGCCCGCCACAGTTACCAAGATTTAGAACACTGACAGAAGGTAGTTATTTGAAAACCCCTTTTTATGCCTAAGAAGAAGGCCCCTATGTGTATACAGTGTTCTGTGTCCACGGTGTGAATCTTTTTTGTTGTTGTTGTGAATCTTTTAATTGACTTGCTACTTGCTATCAAAATGTTAAACATTTTCTACCTTTAAAAAGATTTTTAACGTGAAATTTCACCTCAGCCCTTTCTAAGCCTCTTAGATTCCATGTCTTAAGCCCATTTCACAAAAATCTCTTTCTAGACTTCCCAGTGTATCTTGCCTGACCACTCTGACTTCAGTAAGTTCTTGGCTCCTAGCAACCAAGCTAATGTTCAGAAGCATTAGTGGGTAATATATGTTCCCAAGCACCACTACTCCTGATTTTAAATTGACTGTACATTTTAGCTTTTAAATGACCTTGCCCTCCTTCTCTCTTGAGAGTAGGAGGTTTGTGTACTAAAGGTTTTTTTATACCTTAACATTTCCTTTTGCCTTTTACTCTTTAAAGTACATGAGTTATGTGATCTGCCCACAGATTCAGGTCATGGAACTAACGTGATATAGTTCCTGGTCCATTTTCATGTGGGGTAATATCCCCTTTTCCCTGGGGTATCTTTTCTTCTGCCTTTCTACTCAGCCAAACTTAGAAGTGTACACAGGGAGGTTGACATCCAAAGTGGTGATGTGGTTAGGGAAAAGTAGGGGGAAGATCAAGAGCTCACCAGTGTCATGTTATAGTTTATCAAATTTGTGAATCTTGACACAGACAACAATACATTGTTATTTACTTTTCGGGACAGGTGGAAAACCAAATCTTGTCTCATTTACCAAGTCTCTTTATAAATTCAGTCAGACATGAGACCAACACAGAGAGGATCCAACTGCCTGCCTGTCATGACTTCAGATCAGTTTCAGGCAGTTTCTCAGTAAGCATCAAGAAGCACTGCAGTTCTTGACTGAGTTCTGATTCACAGGAGCTCTTTAGTGACACAAAAGTAATAGAAAGAATGTGGCAGTGAGATCTTAGAGTTTGCTAAGTGTGTCTTGCCTAAAAATTAGTACAGTAGATTTTCAATAATATTTTGGGTATAATTCTATGATGAATTTCTCTAGCAGGAAATTTGACTCAGCAATGTTGGGAAGATTATAAAACTAAAAATCACATTCTAAGATGTAAGTAATTATTAAATAAGAAGAAAATGCAGAGACCTTAAAAGAACAAAAAAATAATTTTTAAAAATGTATGATGGCAAAGGGACCTTTTTAATGACCCATGATTATAAAAGGGAAGTTAGCAATGGAGGAGGAGGTATGTAGTCTCTGTAAGATGAGCACCAAAAACAGCCCAGTGCCTAGAGCTTTAGCTCTCAGGTAATACGATGTTGCTACGCAAAGCAAGAAGGGATCACTTAGAGTGTTGCTTTGCTAACAGTTTAACAGCTCAGCCGAACCATTTAAGTTAATTCTCCATTAAGGAAAAGGTCTTTAAACTGGAGGTGTTAATGGTGGAGTTAGGTGATAATAAGAGTTACATTAGCTACTGCAAATGTGTTCGTCTCTAGGCGCAGATGAAATGTTTCACAGGTGAAAGAACTTGAGGCTAGACTAGGGAAGCCACTGAGGATGAGCTCTGAAAAATGGGCAAAATGGAAGAGGCCTCAAAGGCAGGAGATAAGCAAATATCACCCCTATTTTCAAAAAGGAGGAAAAGGTACATTTTGGAAGCCAGATGTAAGTGAGACTATTCCTCAGCATAATTTGAGCATGGATTAGCAAACATATGGCTTATGTACGGTTAGAAAAGAAATGTGTGTCTATTACAAACCTGCAGAGGTTCATAAAGATATAATTTGACAAATTAACTATATTTCCTATTATGAAAGAATCTTTAAATTAGTTGCAGATAAGAAGAGTTTTTAAGTGTAATGAATCTTGATTTAAAGGTAACTAGAACATTCTTGTGGTGTCCTTGCAGATAAGGTGAAGTATGGATTAAAAAAAATTTTTTAATTGAAGTATAGTCAGTTACAATGTGTCAGTCTCTGGTGTATAGAATAATATCCCAGTCATATATGTACATACATATATTCTTTTTCATTAAAGATTATTACAAGATATTGAATATAGTTCCCTGTGCTATACAGAAGAAATTTGGTATTTGTATCTATTTTTATATATAGCAGTTAATATTTGCAGATCTCAAACTCCCAAATTTATCCCTTCCCACCCACTTCCCCCCAGTAACCATAAGATTGTTTACTATATCTGCGAATCTGTTTCTGTTTTGTAGATGAGTTTTCATTAGTGTCTTTTTTCTTTTTTAGATTCCACATATGAGTGATATATGGTATTTTTCTTTCTCTTTCTGGCTTACTTCACTTAGAATTATGATCTCTAGGTCCATCCATGTTGCTGCACGTGGCATTATTTTATTCTTTTTTATGGCTGAGTAATATTCCATAGTATAAATATACCTTAACTTCTTTATTCAGTCCTCTGTCAATGGACATTTAGGTTTTTTCCATGTCTTGGCTATTGTGTATAGTGCTGCTATGAACACTGTGGTGTGGATTAAGTATTATGATTAGTGGGGCAGAAATAAATTTAGAGTTTGGGACTAGCAGATATGAACTACTATATACAAAATAGATAAACAATAAAGTCCTGCTATATAACACAGGGAACTAGATTCAGTAGCTCTTAATAACCTATAATGAAAAAGAACATGAAAAAGGAGATAGATATATATATATATATATAACTGAATTACTGTTCTGTACACCAGAAACTAACACAACATTGTAAATCAACTATACTTCAATAAAAAATAATAAAACAAATAAGTAAATATTATGATTAGTGGATTTGTACCTGGTTAGACTAATGTTCCCAAAGAAGAGAAATAGTGCTCCTTATTCGCTTAGTCTCTACCAACCCGGTGCATGAGTTGACCCTGTGTGGCTTTAATATTTTTTACCCATGATTTTAATGAAGACATAAAATACTTCGCAAGTGGGGGAGCAACAGAAAACTGGGAATAACAGACTAGCTGGGTGTCATCAAGACCACCGTGCATTTCATTAACTCATGTCCTTTTTACAAATATCTTAAAATTAAATTTCTTTAGCGGTCCTGAAGCCCTGACCTTGGGGTATGCTTCTTTTTAATAAGGAGTTAGATGACCCACTGGATTTTGCCTGTGCCTGTGACGGAAGCCATTCCAGGTTAAGAACCCCCGATTTAGAATGCTAGGCGTGAGAAGGATATCAGAGTTCATAAGGAACTTAAACGGTTGAGTAGGAGAGCCAAGACATGAAAACAATTTTAGTACATAGTGGTCTATAATAAAGGGTTCAAAAGAAGAGAGATCAGTATGGGTTAGAGTTAACTAGCGGGTTTAGGCTTTCTGTATCAAGATTCATTGGGCAGCTGCCAGCAACACTCAGCATCATGAGCTCTGTGATGTCCACGTGTTTTTAGGGAACACTCAGAGTTCATGGGACTATGTTATGCTCTCTGAGTCTCATTTATTTGCATGTGATTATTTAAGCTGGCTGCTTTTTGTTCCTCCAGTTGACCATTTCCCTAATCCATTGTCAGTTGCTTGACAAGCCCAGGAAGGATAGCAAAAATCAGTTGGTGAGGTTAATGTCTTCAGCTAATGGCTGAAATAAGAATTTTGATTTTTAGCTGCTTAACACAAAGATACTGCCCATGGAGACAAGCAAGGGATGCCTGGCTTTGTTTACAGAGAGCAGTATTGCCATTCTCAGTTCCTTTATTAGGTGTCTTCTGAGAGAGTTGTAAGTGCAAAAGCCTCCAGGGGCCAGGCAGGTAACGAGGGAGTGAAAGAACCAGGGGGAGGCAGTAAGCAGTAAAATACACTCCTTCTTTAGAACGGGCAGCTGGCCCTCAGTGCCGCTAATAGAGCTATGCATGAACACTCCCCTAGGGTTGCCAGGTAACTGATTCTCCAAGAAACCAAAAATGTGGATTCTGATGTGAAATCTCCCGACTGTTAAAGATTGGAAACTGATTCAAAATTTTTAAAAACCACATTCTGGAAAAAGCAACACACTGATTCAGTCATATCTGGCCCTCCCATGGTGGCCAGTTTGCAACCTCTGCACTGTTTGGGTAGAGAAGTGAGTTAAGAGAGGAAGATGCAAAAGACATGCATGTCAGGCCTGGTTCCTGCTTCCTAAACCCATGCAGTTTGTTTTAGAGAAAAAATATACAGGAGGTCCATATGAAAAAAATTAAAAAACAACTCAAATCGGTCTTAAGTGCTGAGACAAGTAGCATTTCAATTTCACTTAATCCTCTAGCAAGTTTTGACAAGCCCAAAGCTCATTACAGTCTTCTGGGGGAAAGTCCTTTTCTTGGATAAAAGTTTCCTAG